TTTAAATTCGTCGCTAATATGTGTATTTCAATTATAGGGTTTTGGTCAGAGAGCTGTAAGTTACTCCCTTTATCTTCTACTCACTGAGCTTATTCAAATCTTTCTTAGTGTCGATTGTAAGCTTTTCATTTCATTTAGTCATTTTCGCGACTAACCTAAGGTTATTAGACGTCGTTGATCACTGTAAAGATCCAGATTTGTGAGTGAATCTTTATATTGGGTTAAGATAGATCTTCACACTTCTCAACAGGTCGATCTGGTTAGTTCCGTACCAAGTACACATGACAACCAGTACTGATTGTGATCTACAGGGAAGTGAGGGATATGAAGCGACACTTCACTTATTCAAAAGTATATTCTTCCCTCTTCTTCGGGCATCGATGGGTGCTGATAATCTTCGTTCCTAGATCATGCTCTGGTATACTTGCACTTCATCGTTAATCTTCATCGACTAACATGATCGCATGATAGGGTGGCCATCGATCGAGGTATGTCTTCTCTCCGTCTTATCAACCATCTTGATAGCCTATGCTTCTTTCTCCAGGCCTACGCCTCGCGGACAAACGCTCCCTTCCTTGCCCCAACAGGTTTAAGTGGCTTCAGGCACGCGATGAGCTCTACGAGGATATCATGAACAAGGCATGGAACCCTGAGGGCAAGTTCTTCGGCCAGAGCTACGAGGACACGGATGTGGTCGATGCGGCGGTGCTGATCATGCCTCTTGTATTCTTTATGCAAGCGGTGCGTTCTGTTTCGTCTAAATTTACTGTAGGTGGATATTAACGGAAATGGGATGTGATAGAGTGATCCAAGATTCGTCAGCACGCTGAAGCAAATCTTGAAGTCTCCCGAAAAGGGGGGCTTAACGTCTAATGTGGGTGTTGGTATAGTCGTTGCGTTATGATACTTTCTGATCCTGATATAGAACCTTGTGTACCGCTATGACACGCGCAAGTCTCAAGACGGAGTTGGAGGAGAGGAGGGCACGTTCTGCCTGTGCACACTCTGGTGCGTGTAGTCTATATCATTCTATGATCGGCGCCCGCTAAGCAATGCTCTTCACAATTTAGGTGCATTGAAGCGTTGACACGCGCTGGCGAGAGCGACCGATCCCTGCTCCCGAAGGCCGTTTCTATGTTTGAGGTAACTGAATAGCTGTGATATATAAATTCGGTAATATTGACTGTTTCTTAGGATTTCTTGCTCTACCTCAACCATGTTGGTCTCTGCACTGAGGAAATCTCGGATGCAGGTGAAGGGTATGTGCTGTAGCATTCTCTAGGAAACTAATATTGATATTTTTGTTCTTAGCCTTGGAAATGCGGTTCAAGGCTTTACGTAAGTCCCCAATTTCCGATTCTGAACGTGTCCACTAACGGAGGGTATTACAGGCACGTTACTTTAATCTCGGCAGCCTATAATCTTTCGAGGACCCTCCATAGGTCACCTTGAGGCGGAATAGCTCATAAATCGAATCTGTATATTAGAAGGTTGGAGGTGTATGCTCGGATATTAAAAGACGGAAATATCAAACTATAGATCGTAAAACTCTCATCATGTACTATATAATGATATCGGTGTATTCCAGGGCTTGCTATACATACATAAGGTTGTTTTATAATAACCTGGTGCTTGCCCTATCAGATTTGTAACCTACAGCCCGAGGTATGTGCAATATACCATGAGACAGCGGACATATGTGCCCATAAATACCTCTATCAGGCTAGTTGTATCTTCCTTCAGAGGTAAGTTCGTACAAGTTCATTGCCTCAGGTATTATGACTGGCGGTCAATGTAAACTATACGAATGCGTGAATCCTCTGAGTCTCTGTCCTTGACTAATAACATTCATTATCCCAAAGCCTCCGCATGATCCATATGATATTCCATCCGCTAAGCAGCATTTTATTTTTCACATTTTATTTATCTCGCATGAACTAGTAATCTATTTAGCTTCGCGAACATTCCCGCGTCTATTCATACAGACTTTCAAGTTTCTTAGCCTCGGACATTATTGTCGTCATTTGCATGTTTTGAGCTGTCTCGCAGCTTCATTAATACCTGAGAAAATCATATTCCTGAGGGTATATTCAGTCAGTATCGATCCAGCTATGTACTAAGTATTTCTTTGATTGACTTCTGGAACACTTCTAATAATACAAATATAATTGTTAGTTTTATAGAAATAGACAGTGCTTACTCGCAAATGTAGATATTATATCTCCGAGCTGACTCTCTTAGTAAACCAATCGATAGCGTCCTGGGCCATTAGAACGCTGGGTATCTTGACCTGACCAATGGCCGCATCCGTCAAGCTCGTTTTCCAAGCTCTGTATTCCTGGAATGTCCCAGGATGCAGGATCTGAATTGTTGGCATCTCGATAGCAGATGAATCAACAGCTTTCTTGTAGCCAGGATTTGTAATGAGAAAGTGCTGGTGTAGCTGTTGCCGCACGTTAGTTGAAGGAATTCCTGTACGAAAATGTTCAGGTCATATTGGATATCGAGTGGAAATAAACAGATTTACCGGATGCACCGCCTAGTTCTACCAATAGACCACATGTAGGCGGAACTAGTCGCTCGTCAATCATTGACGTGAATTCAGATATGTCACCGAGCAATCCGGATAGATATGTAATAGCAACTTGAAGCTCTTTCTCTGAAATAAGTACCGATCCAATTCGTATCGAAGCTCTGCGTATGTCATAAGTCAATATCCGTTTACATAAGGGACGGTTATGGCACGCACTCCCGACGTTCCACATATCTAACCAGTGGTTGACCGTCAACGGGGTCAAATCCGGCAATCTCAACGACGTCTCCAAGCCGATAGCGCCAGAGGCCGTCTCGAGTCGTGCTTATAATTTCGTATTTCTCATTGCATACAACATCCCACTGTGTTCAAGATCAATTTAGGCGATAAAAGCTGCTTATTGTAGATATTTACCGCTTGAACGATTGTCGCTTCGCCTTCCGAGTTGTTAAGAGCTAAATACTCGATATGCTCTTCATCATTCACTTTATAGATATTGGTATCATTATCCGGGTCATATGCCAGACCAACGGTCGATTCTGTTGCCATATAATAAACGCTATGAATCTTGATCGACTGTCCAAAGTGGTAATATAACTAAACTGACGATGTGAGCTACGGCAATTGCAAAGAGGAACATCTATGAACCTTTGGAATAGACGACGAATATCCACCACTCGTGACGGTTTTAAGAATTGAAAGTGAAGGCCAGACCTCCCTCAACCACCCTTGCTTTCCTTTAAGGATATTTCGCAATGCTTGGGCACGTTGTGTATCCTTTCTGAAATGAGGCTATATAATCGACGTAATTCACATTAATTCATATTCATGTGCCGAGGATTATCGTACCTGTAAAAGCTTTATCTGATCATCTGTTGCATATATTTCCGGTAATCTACCACTTTCTATGGCATCGATCATGATATCCCAATATTCCTCCAGAATTCGAAGGAAATCTATCACGAGAGAGGCGTAATTGGCCTGTATAACAACCAGAGAAGAGTCGAGCAAGGCGAACTGTGCATGCATAAAGAGACAGCTCATATATGATGGTATAAATGAAACATCGGCCGGAGAGCTGTTGAAAGAGGCTTATAAATGGTTAAACAAGAATAACGCGGTAAAGTGTAAATTTCACCTTTGCTAGACGACGCTTTCTGCTGATTTGAGGTGAGCGTCAAGGCAAATCCGGCGCTCAAAGTGCACAGGGGTATGCTCGTGATCACACGTCCTTCGCCATCGACTAGTTCTATCATTCGAGCATGCTGTATGTTACTCAGTCTACAGTACGGCACCTGTGGCATCGCAAAGGGAGAAGTCAAGAACATTTCATTGTGATACTTCGGAAATATCTTGGGGACTCCACCAGATGTTCCAGAGGTGTGAGCTATAAAATCAGGAAGACCAGGTGCAAGCAGGTTATTAACAGATGACGCATAGCATGTTGGTTCGAAGAAGCGAGAAACGAAAGGATGATAGTCTTGTTGTGATGAACATGGCACTGAGCGCAGGAATGTGTCTGTCAAGCTTTGATCCTCGTTTTCTGAACATAACACCAGAAATAATTCTTCAAGTTTAATGCTGCTCTTAAGAGTAGAAAGTAAACTCGATTCTTGAAAAAATGTTGTCTGAGAATTCTGTCGAATGATTTGTGCGAGTTGCCGTTGACTGTGTAGCTGTAGAGTTCTCCGAAGTGCTAGCGGAAGAGAAACTGCATAACCCTTGGCAGAAGCAGAGATTTCGGAGTGACTCATTACTATTTGAAGTGGTCGACTTGAAGTTGAAGTGCTGAAGCGTTGAGGTCGGTAGGTTCATTGTAATCGTCAAGACGATTAGAAGACAATTGGTCAGCCATCACTCACGCGGGAGCCGGGACTGGATTGATTGCCGTAGCACTATACCCGGACAGTTACAACCATGGACGGAAGACCTGCTAGTTGTACCACTTAACGACGTACCATCGTCACACGTACTAGGAAGTAGATAGCGTTGCGTTCTCTAACATATGGTACATCACAAGGGAGAATAAACATACCAACCAGTTACAAAGTTAATGTGATTCGCACAGTAGAGGAGCTGTAGCTATGGTTAATTCTCATACTTACTGTCTCAATCCTTGAAAGTGCATATGTACAGGATCCTCAACGATCCAACATGTCGGTCGATTACAATATACTTAGTAGCACTTTGATATTGCATCCAAATTTACGTATTGATATTTCCCTTTGGTTGGCAGATTTTGGAGTCGCCGTTTTATCCACTCAGAGTCTCGTGAATATCAGTAGAATTTTAGACCTACTTCTGAAGTACACTTTAGTAGTCATGCTATGTGGGTTGTTCAAGTTTGCACAAGACGGAGAAGGATGAGATGAAGTTGGTTTTACAGATTTTGCATAATGCTTATATCGCCGTGAGTGGTGACGCTGACTCTAGAGAACGAGGAGGAAGTCTTGGGACCAAAAAGAAACTCTCTGTCTGGGAGTCGAACACAGCTTTCGCGCGGAAATTTCAACCTGATTTCTTTAATGACAAGCGCGTGTACTAACCGATATACTAATAAAGATTGTGAGTCCCAGCGTAAGTAGCGCATACCTTGTAGGTTAATGTTCTGGACACCCATTGTATATAAAGTATTAATGTGCAAGGCGCGGATGGCTTATGTATAGTAGTAGATCCACTTACTTTTCAGCTAGGAGAGTTGCAGCAAGGCTGGTGGCCCATCCCAAGTGTGAGTAGAAATCGGAGGGGTGATACGTCTCTATCTCAAGGTATATCTTTGTCTAGTGTTTTCCTCGTTCGTGTGCTTCAATTAAGAGCTCTCTCTGGTCCACTCAGCTAGGGTTTGTATCTTCAGGTATACGAAATCGAGAGGATGCGTAGGACATAACGTGGGCATGTGGGACTTGGAAGACGAGATGGGCCCAGTGAATACGCATAAAATGTGGCGAACGCAACATGGGCTATGATGGACGCGTAGGAGGACCCAAGTAGGACTGCGGTCTACCTCACCATATCCACAGATGTCGGTATTGCTGAAGATAAAGGATATATCTGCAGCATATTGAGATGCAGAGAGTTCAAACCCGCATAGGCGTATGAAAGAACTAGCAAAGGTGTCGAAGCTGGTAGGCAGATGTGCCTGTACCTGCCTGTACGTCCTCGTCCAGTACAAATTTCTAGCCCTCTTCACATCTGATTTCCAGTGGATGTGGAAGTAGTAGTACATTGAGTTGACCATAACTGGAGGACGATTCGTCGCCGGGCGGAATGAGAATGAGAATGGACGATCGAGCTTCGGCCCATCCATCCCAACTGAATCGTTCATGGCTCATCATAATGTATTTTATCTCCGAGCTCTTCAAAAAGGCGCATAACAAACTTTATTAGCATGGAACTAGAAGAAGCGACCATGCTCATTGTGGTGGTCGGCTTTGATGCCATTATTTGGTACACTTTGTTACGCCGAGTTGACGCCGTTCTCATCGTCTGATCATCTCAACATTCGCCAACAACCAGCTCGACGCGCAAAAATTCCGTCAAATCCTTTGCAAAAACGCGCACCGATTCCTTTTCTGCAATGCACACCACCAATACCCCATCATTCGTGTACTCCGAGAGCTATGACGACGTGCATAGTTGAACATAAGTTTATGAGCGGGCGGAGCACACCACTGTGCTGGTCGGCACTGGTGCGGTTCTCTCATCTATTTTTCTCGTTCTGTGGGGTTCTTATATGCAGTCTGTGTGCGCAGATATCTCCTACCTCCAGGTGCCTCTGCCTCTAATCTCGAATCTCCAGGTCCCAGAGTCAACGCGAAAGCTGAAAGACTGAATTTTAGCAAGCATCGTGGAGGAACTTTAAGTTCCCTTTCGCGCTTTTTGCACACAAGACAAGGTGGAATAGCGGGTTGGGGCAGACAATTGGTTCTTGCTTCCTTTGCTGTTACGAGCCTTTCAACGAGTCCACATACACACCAATCGACGCGATGTATTCGAATCTCACCCTCGCGCTCCATTCTATCATGGACCTAGCTCCATCTCCGCCCTCCCCTTCCTCCCCCCCTCCCCTGTACACTGCTTCCTCAGCATTGGCCGTCACCCCCGCCCCGCCCCTCCCCTCACTCTCCGCCCTCCTCTCCGCCTACCTTCAACACGCCGGCTTCTCTCTCCCATCTGCGGAGGCCATCACAGCCTTCGAGCGCGCCCTTGAGAAGCACCCCGATTCAGGGGACGAAGTGAGTCGAGTGATCGCGTTGGTGAGGCGGCGGTATTGGTACTGTGTATTGAAGGGGAGGGGTATTGAGGATGTGGGTGCTGATATGAATAGAGAGGAAGAAGAAGAGAAGAGGTGCATGCCGTGTGGGTGCTGTGGGCGGATGGTGATTGCTTCGAAGAAACATGCGCATGCGCAGGAGGGAGAGCATGTGGTTGTTAGTGAGAGCGCTCTTGGTACGCTCCCATTGTTTCACCCCTTCTGGCACACTCACTGATTCTTGTATGCGTAGTGAAAGTCACGAAGAAGTCCACTTCCACTACTACCACGAGCAAAACAACCAAGACCACCTCAAAACCAAACCTCATCGTGCAGGCAGCCTACCCACAGCGGCACGTCAGGAGACGCGTAAAGCGCGCGCATTCGATCCGTATTTGCCGTCGACTAGTGCAGCGTGTATGTAGCATTGGATGAGCGAGTGCGTTTTGTTTGAATGGTGGGGTAGGGTGTGCTTTGCTGACTTGAATGCATAGATGCCATCTTCTCCGTTTCCAGCCTCTTCCTTGTTCCTCGTTCCTACCGTCTGCTTCATTCTTTTCTTTGCTCCCAACCTCTTCGTTCTTCGTCGTTCGTATGTCTATCCTCCATACACTTCGTTCATGGTACGTCCCCCTCTCCTCCCCTTCTCGCTCTTCGCACAATGACTAACCTCAACATCATTCAGGCTATCTACCGAGTTGCGACCTCGTCTTCCTACTCTCACTTTGCTTCTGCTTCAACGCCTTCCAAACACATGTTCTATTTCTATTTCTACTTCTACTCTCACTTCCACTTTGTTCTCGTGGTACGTCTCTACGTCGCCACTATTGTATCGCAGCTGATTATGCTTATCTTCAACTGCACTCGATCCTACTTCACCTCATCGCATCCCAATCTAAACGTATGCATCCCTAGCCTGTACTACCAATCTATTCCTCACCTTTCACCATCGGATGCCTCTAACCATCCCTATTTCTACGTCTACTCCCTTCCTTCTTTACTTCACTCAATCGACTTCAACGTTTACTTCCACACTTCTTGTTTTATTTCATTCCTCTCCTTTCTCTTTCACGCACCGTTACCATCATCTGTATTAGAGCTCAATAAAACTAAAAAAAAGTTGTACTCCTTATCCCATGTACCTCTCCTTCACCTATTTCCAAGTCCAACAACGAGGCTATGCTCTCCGAAAACATCGAAGTCGTTCGTATGATCATCTGTCTTTTGTGCTGAAGTTGGAAGTACAAGTTCTGCTGACACTCTGCGATTATCTGCACTTTTATGCTGGATGTCTTCAAGTTCTCTGTTAGTATATCGGTTAGTACACGCGCCTGTCATATATATTGCTTAAAGCATCCTACGGCCGCGCGAAAGCTGGGTTCGACTCCCAGACAGAGAGTTAACGTTTTACCATATCCTTCTTGCACTCAAACCAACCAGAAATTAAAGAGCAGACTCCCTACTGGTCGCTCTTAATAGCTCTAACTTTGACATTGTGAGCAGTATACCCGGGAAATGAAAAGGTTCCTGATAACGCTTTACGTCTCGGCTCAACGAATTGTATGATGTACGTGATGTAAATCGAGCAAACAGTCAATGAAACGCAGGGGATAGATGAATGCCATTTATTGTCTTTCACTGAGGTACTCCCGTACCATTTTCTCAGCATCGTACATAAACATCGAATCACCAATCGTCTCGGGTAGTTTACCTACAGGGGGCATCAGAATACGTTCTTAACACCTCGTAGAAAATACTTACATAGAACCCACATCACAAGATCTCTCAGCTTCTGCCCAAGCCACCCCACGCGCTTCTTCGCGTCTCCGTTGTGTTTTGCAAAATCAAGGATACGGTGCACGCGGGGCATGCGCAGCTTCTCGTACGCGGTGGCAGCTCTCTGCAGAGGAGAAGTTTCTGGTAGCGACGAAGAGTCTTGCGAGAGATAATGCTTGAGAAGCAGTGCGTATGCAACTGCATCTTCCACTGCACAGGACACGCCCTGGCCTGAATCAGGGGGCATAGCATGGGCAGCGTCTCCGAGGAGTACTATCCGTCCTTGTACAGCGCGTTTTGAAGTAGATGAGACGTTCGACCAGTGCGGAAGACGAGGTGTGACATAGCGCGGAAGAATGAGGAGGCTAGTGTCTAATCCATGCTCGTGGTTGGCTTCTGTCTCTTCGCTAACTGTAACTCGGGAACCAAGCTCAATAATAGTTCGATATACAGCGCCCTCAGAGGAGTCGTGGGGCGACTTCCACTCAGCGTGCCGCTCAAGAAGTTGGGCTTTGATGTCGGCGACATTGACGGTGTGCTTATCCGGAGGGGAGGCGCATTCATAGATAGACCACCATTGGATGAAGGGTGCAGGGACGTTGTGAATCAGCTGCTCCGGAGGCGGAGAACACAAGGAATATCCGAAGAAACCTAGCTTACCGAAGGTCATTGTTACTCCTTCGGTTTTTAGACTGTCTTGAAGAAGTTTAGGAAGAGACGATAGAGGTAGGAACCCGCCGACCCCTGTAAGTCCACTGTAGAGCAGATATATTCAGTCAAGACGCGAGGAATGATATGAGAAGACGCGTACTCATATGCTGCAGTGTACTGGCCCGCAAACAGACTATCGCGCACGACACTCCTCACTCCGTCCGCACCAATAACCAGATCAGCCTGCTCCTTCGTTCCATCTTCATACACAAGCTCCATTTTGCCATCTTCTTCTCCCGCATCCAGCGAATGCACCCTCTTCCCCCATTCCACGTCTCCTTCTGGTAGATCAAGTAACAATGCCTCGTGGACAACCGCCCTCGGAACCATCAACTGGTCAAAGCCGTAGCGCTCGCCTCGTCCGTTTTGATAGACACCTAAACGCCCACCAGACGAGTTACGAAACGTTACCAACGCGCCTGGGAACCCACGTTCTTGGATGTACGTTGCAGCCTTGGGCGAAATGGATGCGATCGCACGTAGCCCATTGGGTGCTAAGCCGAGTCCACCGCCAATTGTCCGTGTCGTGGTTCTAGGCGATGTATGGGATTCAACAATCTTGACATATATACTCGAGTTGATGCCCGGTGGAAGGTCGGAGAGGTGTTTCTTGAGAGCATGATACGCTGCTAAGCCACCGATACCTGCGCCCACAATGATGATTTTCATCAGAAGTGTAAATGAAGGGAATGTTCGACAGGTGAAGAGGACTCCTTTGATATGTGTCGCGTTTCCTTGTTTGCCGAAGGAATACGTAGACGCTCAAAACAGTCTTTGATACGCAAATGCTGCGCAGTGTTAGAATTGAGTAGATCTGTCAAATCCAATTGAATTCCGTTTGCACAGCAGCATTAATTTCTCTATTTAAGCACAACATGAGTTCAGTTCATCGCCAGTTATGAAATTGTACCCACATGCCACGAAGCTGAAGCAGCTACTGTCGGGAGACATCTCCAACATATAGTGGCTCCCATCGAGTTACCAGTGGTTCTTACGAGTATTACTCAGAATGCCAGAGATTACGAGCAGTTCATGAATTCCGCGTAGAGTCGTTTGTGTTTGAATGCGGCCTGAATTGAGGTATATCTAGAGCCGTGGAGAATTGACAGAGCCTGGAGGAGTGACAAATATCCAAAAATGTCACTTGTTTGTCTCAACGACTCTTGACAAATACATTGGCATATTATCGCTGAACCCCACGCTTGCCGTGGTGATCTGCTTGTCAGGAAGGCTGTGTTGGCGAAGCAGTGGAGATGTTGATGCGACGGATATAAGCAAGGCTTCAGGAGGAGGGCTTTACTGGTGTAGTGTAGTCGGCACTGTACAACGTGTAAAGCCAAGAGAGTCTCCTTGTTGCCACCGTGATATGCTCGAATTGTCGATATGGGATAAGGATGGGTAGCGAACAGAATGGAATTCTTATTATTTCCATTCAGTCGATAGTAATCAAAGAGGTTGTTCACCAAAGATGGAATCATTGTCGGTATTAATTTGTAGAAGATAATGCGGAAGGAAATGACATTGGGCCTTGAAGCTTATTTGGGATCGGGCAATGAAACCACAGTTCTATTCTATGACTGGGGAGTCACGCTCATGGCACTCGATAACAGTCGCTAAATGGAGCCTTTTGAATATGAGAACGTTCGACGTATTTCTAGCGCCGTTGGGATAGGAGGCCCCTTACTCCACCAACTACCAGCGAGAGCTAGGAATTCAGAGTACGAATGAACCAGTAGCAAACGAGGTGGATCATTGTGTAGTCTCTCTACATGGATGAAGAATTGCAAACGTAGGTGCTTCCAGGCATTTAAGATGCCATATGTCTTGCTACCTATTTACATATGACATTTGCTTCATGTATTCACTTAGCATCCATCGCCGCCATCGTTATTCAGACCTCCTGGCAGTTGAGCAGCAATACAAGAGCGGGGGACAAAGAACCAAATTACTTGTCCGTATTCTGCGACCGTTGCTCGTACCATGCTTGCCTGGCCATCGCGCGTTGTGTACCGGTATCCTCCCCCGGTTGTAGTTGCCATATTAAATGGTACAGGGTCCTGGAAAGCACCAGATAAAAAATTCGAATCCTATGCATATATAAGTATATATATAGCTCGTAAGGGTATAAGGATTATCTGTGGACTTACGACGAAATAATTATAGAAACCGGGACAACCAACAAGACTGAGCGGGACGGTGATCGCACCATCACCTTGGTGTGGTGGAGAGTCAAAATCTTTACCGAAATGGTTTCTGTCGCACATAGCAGATGCCGTGGCATCAGAACAAGATGAGCCAACGGAAACGCCCGTATTCAAGTTGAGGGACTAGTGGAAGTGATAGTGAGTACTTTCCATGAGGAGGCACACCTTAATTCTTACCGAAGGAAGAATCCAAGTACAGAAATTTCCGCCAGTACCGCGGTATCGACCAAAATGAAAACCAGCAGATGAGGTTTTCTCGACATCAAATCGTTGACCGGCGACAGCAGTCCCTAGAAATTTATTTGTTCAGGAATATTGACTATCGTATTCCGCATGTACGCACCCATTACATATCCACATGCCTTATTCGCAATCCACCCACCGCCGGGGAGTGTTCCTGAATTTCCACAGGCTCCTGGCTTGGGAACGTTTGCTGCGCTTCTCTATAAGTACTTGTAGGTAGTATTACCATTGGCAATGAGCACACCTATTGTCGTATACTCGTTGATTGCTTGAACAGTCGGTATTAATAGGAGGAGTAAGGTTGGGAAATGCATGACGGGATGGATAATTATATGGTTGGTATGTTCGTCCTTCTGTGAAGACCGTTTGTGGGGCTCACCTTTTTATCTTGAAGGATAAGAACGCACCGGCTGCAGGAAGTCCTGTCAAACAATTGAAGCAATGCGATGTGGCTCTACAAGCATGGAAAACCTCTTCCTCATGATGATTATTCTGTCGTCTGTCAAGATATATGAATGAAGAGCCCAGGGTAAATTTAGCTCGTACGGGTGATCCTCGTGGGCGAGCACATTATCTTGGAGAAAAAATGGCTTCTTGACAGGTGTGCGAGAGCAACGTATAATCCTGGCATAATCATATTCATAATGGCGTGGTAACTTCCCAAGTTATTTTCATCCCACTGAATTAACCCTGTAAATATCTTCATCTTATTAGCCGATAGACTCTTTAGGCCACGTACAGTCATTCAATCTGCTTGGGATACGAATAAAGTCAATGAATACAATTTGCGTGTATACTACATTTCATAATGTGTTGGAGTGAAGAGGTAAAAATCAAAGACCCAGTAGTAAAGCTTGGAAGTCTCGCGTCAAAAGTTGAAAGATTGTTGGACTAGAACAGATGCCCCACACGGACAGTCCTGCATAAATAAGAATTCCTGTAATTGTTTCTGATTATTGCTCTGCGGTAGAGTAAAACTCACTCGACAAAGTACAAGTTAGAGTCGGAGATGCAGGCTGCACCACCAAACCTACGAACGCTGATGCAGTTGGTGTACAGCGCTCCTCCAAGGCTTCCCTAAAAATGAAAGTGTATCAGGAATCAGAATTGAGTATTTATTTAAAGACATTGAATCCGTACCCAATTGAAATACGGATACTCGAGCTGTCCAGTGGTGCCCCTATAACCCAACGCAAATTCACAGGTCTGATAGATGGCAGAGATATAGGTCTGTGGGTTAAGGAAGAAAGCTTCAGAAATTCGTTAGAAATGATACATAGTCAACGCATAAAGAAGGCCCCACTTCCGGCCAGAGTTTCGAGATATTTCAGAATAATATTGCAATCAGCCAGAGCAGGGGCGTTTTCGTAGGCTGCAGTGCAGATATTGGTATTGCCTGGCAGTACGCTCGTCGTCAGTTTCACGTTCACTTAGTAGAAATTTTATTATCTCACATGGAACGTCC